TTATTTTTTGGGGGGTGGCAAGCTTGACTGGGGTTCAGGTGATGAAGTGAGAGAAAAGGCAAATTTTCTCTCTCTTGAGAAGTTCTTACTCCGCTTCTATTTTTCGGCAGACGGAAATAGAGTGAGAAAAGAGAGAAAACGAAGAGAAAATGGAAATACCTGATAAGGGCTCGTCAAAAGTTTTTGCTAATTGCTATTATCCCCTCCTACTATTTCAACGTCTTATTTTATGACCATCTCAATTGGCAGTCAAAATTATATAGGAGTAATATTTTATTCAATTATGGTAAACTTTTAGAAAATTGCAAGAGAATTTTCCCTCCGAGAATGTGTCAATTTGGAGTGATAAAAAAGGTATCCTGTATATTTATTTTATGTTTATTAATAAAAGGCATTTTTTTGAGTCCTTTCTCTCGATTAATTCTTGGTTGAAGGTAGAAATTTCTAGTTACAAGAGATTAATTTTAGGAGAACATAAAATCTATGAAAGTCATTAGAAAAACCTCTAAACTAAAACAATGAACCGTCAAATCTCCATTTGAACGAGTTTTTTTTCAGTAATTTAAAACTTTTTGAAAAAAATATTACACTAAATATAGTTCTTCAATTTTAGCTCGGACGGTCTTTACTTATAGACTATTAAAAGTTCAAGACAAGTCACTATGATAAGTTGGTTAGTATGTACAAGTATTTAATACAGTACATATGAAACTACATGAGCCGTACAAAATTCAAATTTCTTTATTTACGTCCTTAATTATGTTTTACAATCACTTCTAACCCTACTCAAACATAACCCATTCCAACTTTAACCAACTTGTCTATCTTTTTGATTAATTCCCTTGCTTTGCCAAATGCCACTACACAGAAGTCAAAAATTATTTGTTGGAATTATCATGAGCAATGTGTTGATAATTTGTTGACCCCTTTTTTCATTTCAGCAAAACAATAATCATACTTAATTTAGAGGGTTTTATGATTAATAATATGGGAATTTATGACGCCAGAAATGCTCCATGAATGCATCAACTTTGCTCGACTAGTTACTTGACAATTGTATCTTGTGTAAAGTGCATTTTTTTCAACAGAAACTTTTACCAAATAAAGCAAAGACAATTGGATAAATTCTTTCACAAACAATTCAATTCATTACAATGCTAGTGATGTCTTTAAATTCTGAATGGTACATTCAATCACTGGAATTGGTAAGTGATCAGAGAACGGCTCTACAGTTGAGGGTTTAAAGGGTGTTGGGAGGAGAAAAAACATTCATTAGTGATATGAGTTTCTCAACCGAAATTTGTAATTTCAATTTTCAAATACGAAGATAATCCAATATGGGTCAATTGTCTTCCATCTTTAGTACATTTTTGGCAATGCTGAGTCTTGCCTACTCTCTACTCTTTACTCCCCACAATCCTCTGATTTAGACACTACAAGTTTAGCTCCGAAAGCTTTTAAGCGGAATGTCTGACCAATAATATGCCATATATGAATGTCTTTTTCTTCAAATTGTAACACTAAGGTGTTGAGAAAATGCCAGCTCTCTTGTTCTTTAATTTAGCAAGTGAAGACTCCAAATGGTAATAAATTGACTTCCCTGTTTGCGCTTTGAAGATCAACGTTTGCTTTCCTTCAGTTGAGCCATGAATGTTTCAATGACTCGGAAAAGGAATTTTTGGGCTTTCAAATGGTCTTTTGATACATATATAGAAGTTGACCTTTGAAAAAAAAAATGGTCTTTTGACCTTTTTTTTAACCCCCCCCCCCCCTGCAAAAAACAAAACAAAACGAAAAACCCAAAAAAAGGGGTTGTTATTAATGACCTTCGAAGATTAGTGCTTTTAATTTTCAAGCATAATGCTTAGAAGTACCAATGGTGTCAATGTTTTCAAGAACATAATACTAAGAAGTACCGATATTATGAATGAACTCATCTATAAAGGTTAGCATCAGGATAAATTCACTGTCTAAACACCAAGAAATTCCAAATAATGAAACTTGTATGGCTGCAAACGTCCTCAACAAACCATTTTAGCAATTAATCAACTACAATTGTCCACAAATATTACTCCAAAGAAACTGAAATTTAATTAATTACATGCAAAATAGATAGTAGAATAGATAAGATCTAACTAAACTTATTTCATCAGTGCTTTGGCCTTTCTGTATATCATCTTGAAGATAACCAGTTACATAATGGAACAACCATGAACAGATTCTTCACTAAATACCTCACCAACCGGCTACCGAAAATGGTCGAATGTCCAAATTGATGACTGCTGTAACTACTAAAATAACCATAATCTTGGCTGCTATGATCATAGCCATGCTTGTAGTAGTTGTAGGAGGAGGCTGCAGGCGGCTGAGAGGTGGCGTAATAGGTGGCTGGACCACCACAACCGCCATAGCTGTGTGGATTGTAGACGGTGTAGTTGTGATTTCTGAGCACAGGATTATAAGGTAATTGCCAAAGTTCAGCTCTTCTTCCAGTTTTTCTCACTGTCTTGAGCACTTTCTTCTGCTCAACCGATCCTGTGACTGTTACCTTTTGCATTGACATGTCTATTTCCACGTTATCTACTCCTGTTTCATCCGTTGACGTTCAAATGTCAACTATAGTAGCTTGAATGATGGGAAAGAAGAGCTGATCAAAGGGTCTTTTTTTTTTCCTCATTAATTTGTATGTGAAAAGATAAATAAAGAGCTTTATAATTATGTGTGTTGAAATAAAGAGATATACCTTTGAGATTTTGGAGAGCTTTCCTGATCTTGCTGACACATCCAGCACAGTCCATATGAACTAGCATCTCTACGGTCTAAGGCATTAGGCACATGTTAAGCAAGGAATCAACAATAAACTCATGATTAAGCTCTGGACATCAAAGAGATCTACATTAATTATAGGTTATTCATGATTTACATGGTAGATCATCATTCTTTTTTTCACTTGTTTTCCGTAATCACATTTTTGTCTTACATATATTATATTATTATAGTATATTTTTCTATAGAAATTCCAAAAGATAATAATTCAAGCGACACCCTAATCCGCGCTTAGCAGCTGCGTTCACTTTTTCTTTCCCATGATAACGTTTTTCAAATTTTGTAACAAATGGTCTTTATAAATGTTAGATGTACATGAACATTGTCATCAAACATATAAAGAAAGTTTGTATCTTTTTCAATCAAACAATGAAAAGTGCATTTATGCAAAGGCAAGAGGGAGAGAAAGTAAATTACCGTCATTTTCCTTCAAATAATTGAACCTTCCAAATGCCACTCCCGATCGCTATATATGTATATATAATTGCAGGTGAAAATCTATCTCTTCAAATATTTCGACCTTATGATTACTATTGACAAAAGGAACGAGGCCCTCGATCCTTCTATATGTAAGCGTTCTTTAATCTGAAGCTTAAGCAAGGAAAAAGTCGGTGTAGAGAAAGTATAAAAATATATGCAACTTGGATTAATTTTGTGGACATTTGACTTTTATCAACGTAGATAACAAACAAAGATTAATATTAGTTGCTTGAGTAATTCACAAAGTGTCTTGTTCAAAGCGCTTTTGGTGCAGAAGTGTACGTAGACCGCAAAATTGCATTTTGGAGAAGGAACGGACGGTGGAAAAGCATGTCATGGCAGGACTGCACTCACAGCTGGAAAAGAAGATAAAACAAATAACAACTAAGAAGATTAAGAAATAGGTTAGTCCCTAATCTAGTACAATGTTGTCTAAACATTAGAGAACTTGTCATTTTTTTTTTTCACTTAGGGGTATCGCAACATTCGGCCAAACTAATCCCCCAAGGCTAGATAGAGTCTTATCCCAATGATACACAGCGAGATAGTACATGAAAATCAAGTCCGTTTAAAGCTTTACTCCAAGGATACATAGTGAAATAGCACACGAGAATCAATCATAGGATCTGTTAGTAAAAATTAGACTACAGAATCAGTTGGACTGCCGCGGGAACTAAGAACTTGTCATTTGAGCTATCAAAATTTCCTGACTAATATTCATTTGTCTTAGCAATACCGGAGCGATTATCAATTTAGGAAAGATTCGCTTTTGGGGTTCAGAAAGAGCAATAGCCAGAGACACCAGAGAGGAAAGGAAAAGCTTGTGACCAAGATTTTGAAGAAACACGTGCGAGTCACATGGGGTGACAACGAACTTTTGGCTGAATTCCTTTGTTTGGTGTTTGTTTGTTATGCTGAAAAGTAGCAAGCATGAAGAACTTGTGACATTTTTTATAACTCTTACTTTGTATACAACGTCAAGAATTCAATCGCGATAGTATATGCAATGTTAATATATATAAAATTAATTTTTTTAATATGTAATTTTATCCATAAATAGTAAAAAGACAATCATCAGGCCATGTTAATTTTTTCCCCAAAGGCCGGGGCATGTTAATCTTGGTTCAGATAAATTAGAGAGCCAAATAAGAGTTAATGGATGATTTGTTTTTCCTCCTTGATGTCTTTACTCAAGACTAGAATAAAATCGCTCTCTTCCAAATTTAAAGATTTTATTGCTTAATTTTTCTAATATAGATTATTCCAAATTGATTTTTGTTATGAGTTTGTTTATATAATAAATGGAATTGAGAGAACTTTACAAACTATAACAGGTATACAAACTATGAACTTCTTTTGCTTTTTCAATTAAATTGTGGTTCTGGTGGCAATAGATAAAGGGTCAAGTTAACATTGTATATCATCATTTTTCTAACAATTTTTGTTACTCAATTTGTCATTACTTTTATCAATTGGCTTTGGTCCAGCTGGTTAGGGGTTACATGATAGACATTGAGCTGGAGATTTTCATGAGGGTAAGTTATAAATGAAAACATTTTTATAAGGAAAGTTATAAACAACATCCTCATTGAAATTTTAAACCAAAGATGTTGCACTTATTGTTAAGATTTCAATGGTATACATTAACTTGTTAGCCATCAAATTAACAATTTTGGCCTGCAAAACGACCTGAAGAGATCATCTTTAGCTTTGATATATACAAGCATCTCTCAATCGGATTTTCATTGTTACAGCTGGCTAGGCCATACAGATTGAACTAGTTAACCATTAGTCCTCCTTGCCTGTAAAATCTAAAGACAAAATCCTAGGCAAACAGAGATCAGATCAGCTTGGAAAATCACAAAGATGGGGTTTGAAAGAGGAGAACAGGTTGAGGTGGTCATGGAAGACGAAGGATTCAAGGGTTCCTATTACCCTGCAATTATCATCTCGAAGAAGGGTACTTCACGGTACAAGGTGGAGTACACAACCCTCTTAAAAGACGATGAATCGGGGCCGCTGGAAGCAGTTATCGACGTCGATCAGCTCCGGCCGGTGCCACCTCCGATGCCGGTCATGGACTTTGATTTGTATGATTTAGCTGATGCATATGAGCACGACGGTTGGTGGGGTGGAATCATATATAAGAAATTTGAATTGGACTATCTTGTTTACTTCCCTACACTTGGAAAAGCACTGGCTTACCCTTCGGAGAAACTGAGGATACACCAGGAATGGGCCAATGGCAGGTGGACTTGCACGAAATCGGTACCCAATAAAGAAAAAAACTCTCTAATTTTTTTTGTTTTTCTACGTGAAATGTAGGTTGTTTCTGATTGAGAAATGAGAAAAATGAAAAAGGGCCTAGCTTCTTTAAGCATGGCTACTGAAATTTGCCACATGGAGTTAAGGATTCATATTATTATGAAATTTATTATTGGTAATAACCTACAAAATCTAAAATTCACTATGAACTACGAAGTAAGTTTTTTTCTTTCTTGATTCTAACAGGCAAACAAGAGTTTCGAGGAAAAACAGGCAAAAAAGAGTCCCAAAGGAAAACAGGCAAAGAAGAAAAATGTTAGCCTCCCAAAGCCAACAGTTGTGGAGTTCCAAACTGGACAAAAAATGGAGGTGATCGAAGAAGAGGAAGGTTTTGAGGGTCCTTACAATTCTGCAAATATAATATCTATTGAGGGTCCAGTAGACATTGAAGAAAACACGGGGCAACTTTCCAAGAAAAAGCAGGAGAAAAGGAGTTCCAAAGGAAAACAGGCAAAGAAGAAAAACATCGGCCTTCCAAAACCAACAGTTATGGAGTTCCAAACCCGACAAGAACTGGAGGTGATCAAAGTAGAGGAAGGTTTTGAGGGTCCAGTAGACATTGAAGGAAAAACAGGGCAAATTTCCAAGAAAAAGCAGGCGAAAATGAGTTTCAGAGGAAAACAGGCAAAGAAGAAAACATCGGCCTTCCAAAACCAACAGCTGGGGAGCTCCAAACTGGACAAGAACTGGAGGTGATGATAGAGAAGGAAGGTTTTGAGGGTTCTTATAATGCTGCAAATTTAAAATCTAGTGAGGGCCCATCTCAATATCCACTGGAATACAAGACCCTCTGGAAAGAAAGCAAGTCCGGACCATTGGTAGAGGTTGCAGGCGATGATCAGCCCCTTCTTTTGCCACCTCATGTTTTGGTGAGTTGTTCAGGACTTTCAGCTTCCACATGATTAGTTGCCCATCTTATATGCAGTCTTTTAAGTTGCACTGGACCTTCTGTCATGTTGGTCTTGATATTTGATGGTAAGAAAACAAAAAAGAACTAAAATATGAATATTTATGAAAAAGAAACGGGATAAAAAGTGGGATAGATAATAAATCAGGAATTGGAACAGAAGATATATTATACTTCTAAGTTTTGCCATGTATATTCATCACAATGGATCTTTGTTTCATCTCTTGTTCTATTTTTTATTCCACTTTTTAGTATATTATTACTTCTCTTTCATAAATATTATATCTTAATTCTTTTTTATTTTCTTACTATTACATAATTTTGACACAATAAAAATTAAATACAACAATTTCAAAAAAGCAATATATAAGAGAAAATCACAAAATGCAATAGAATATGCATAAAAAATCTCGCTTTTCTATGTATTTAATTTTTTGATTTTTTTAATTTTATGTATTACTTAATTAATAGTTATTGAAACTTAAAAATAAAAAAGTTAAAATATGGTGTTTATGAAAACGAAATAACAATATAATAAAAAATAGCACATAAAGTATAACAAAAAGATGTACCGGATACATTCATGCATCATATCCCATTGGTCCGCCTAGGTGGGAGCTATACCAAAATCCCACCTTCAATTCTTTGAGTGAGATACCAAAAAGCGTAGCTTCTATAAGCATGATTAATAACGCTAACAAAAAAGCCAGACATTTCTTTCACACACTCATGTTACATTATTAAGAAGTTTATTAGATCCCGGGTAAATTCCATAGCAATCTTCTGCTTGCTTTTAACTACTACACTCCTGTTAAATTATACCAAGGTGAAATGCCAAACTCCTACTCTATGTATGTAGATATCTGTGCATCTACACTATTAAGTTGATATCAATCTCAATATACAAAGTGTATAGCATTTAATTACATGCTAGAATATGTCTTCTTTTTTTTTAAAACTACTTCTAGTTGTATTCGGTGAACATGATTGGAAATAGAAAATGTGATTAAGCAATTAACAGTTGGAGTTTAGAAATATTTTGAAAGGAAATTAAAGTTGGGGTTAGTTTGATATTGCACCCTTGAATGATACCTCCTTTTTCACTTTCGTACGTAAACTTTAGTTCATAATTTACTTCCTAAAAATCTTAAGTTCATTCCCCATTACTGCAACCATCAATGGAATGTACAAAACTGATAATGTAGTTGTTATTCTTGGTTAGCTTATGACTAACACCGGGTGCTTTTGGGAGTTGAGGATTAGAACGGAAGAGAAAGGGAAAGAAGAGAAAGACTGATTTTGCCCCTGGAGTTTAAGTAGTCATACACTCTCCATTGTCTGTAACAACCCTCAAAATCTAAAGGCCACCGTGAATTGATTCCTTTGGCTCTTCACTCTACCAGGCAAACAAGAGTGTCAAGGAAAAACAGCCAAAAATAGAGTATGAAGGACAAACAGGCAACATTATCCAGAAAAAACGAGCAAAAATGAATTCCAAGGGAAAACGGGTACAAATAGAGTTTGAAGAAGAAACAGGCAAAATTTTCCAGAAAAAACCGGCGAAAAGTAGGTTCAAAGGAAAACGGGCAAACAAGAAAAAACTCAGCCTTCCAGAACCAAAAGTAATAGAGTTCCAAGCCGGAGATGAAGTGGAGGTGATGTTGAAGGAGGAAGGTTTCGAGGGTTCGTACTATGCTGCAAAAATACTATCTAAGGAGGATGCATCTCAGTATAAAGTGGAGTATAAAACCCTCTTGAAAGAAGACGATTCCGGACCACTAGAAGAGGTTGTCGAAGTTCATCAGCTCCGCCCTTCGCCACCTCCTTTTCCGGTCAGCTATTTCAGCTTGTATGAGTTAGCTGACGTGTATGAGAGCGATGGCTGGTGGGCTGGGATCATAAATGGGAAATTCCAGTCAGACTATTTCGTCTACTTCCCTACAACTCAAGAAGAGATCCCTTACCGCTTGAGCAATTGAGGGTGCATCAAGATTGGTCAGATGGCCAGTGGATTTCCTCCAAGGAGGCAACGGCAAGTCCTTCAAACTCATCTCTGGATCTCCTTTTTTTTTTTTTTTTCAAATTTTTTCCTTTTACTTTCAAACAGAAAAGCATGAAATTGCAAATTCTTCTACAATTTATCTGGCTATGGGTTGATCTCCTTGTCTAGGGTCCAGGATAGTCGAAATATTGTTTGTAGATCATCAGGAACATTTTCTTTTATTCTATATTTATTTTTAATTTTGTTGATTTTATCATTTTATGTTGTCATTAGTTAGAATATCATTTCACATGGAGGTAGGTAACGTAGTCCATTAAACTTTTACTATTTTTGGGTTCTTTTCTAGGACACTTGAGTAAATTTGTGCTTTAAGTTGCTATTTTGGTGATTTCTTGTTGATCTGGTCTTTTCTTCTGTCATACTTGGTAAAACATTTCTTTTCAGGACCACATTATCAGTATCTCAGAGCCGGAAGGGAATACAAAACAAAAAAGGACGAGGAAGATTAAGAATAAGGTAGTCCCTAATCAGCTAATTAATCTAGTAGGATGTTGTTTAAACTTAAAATAGAACTTCTGCTAGTCTAACCATCAAATCCCAAAGCTGATATTCGTCTGTCTTTTCACTTCTGCAGGCATGATGTATGGCTTAACAGCTGGATGAGGATTGACTCACTGAGGAGGCAATACATGAACATTTTCTGATGAAATGCAATACCATACACAGACTTTATATGGAGCGACCATGATGAGAAGGGTTTAGCTTACCTTTTTTTTTTTTTTTTTGGTGGTTGATGGCTTGTTTTGTTTCTTTTGATTGGCTGTATTAATTACATCCAATTGATGTCACATTTCTATTAGGTGAATTGAAATATATAAACTTGATACTGTATTTAAGGGGCTTTAATACTAGTTTACCTATAATCATCATTTTTCAGGTCTCGTACCCAACTCCTCGTCCTTGTCCGGATTGCCTTTTTTGAAAAAAGCTTTTATATTTGTCGTGTGTATTTTTAATTATTTTTTTAGTTCACGTACATTAAATCTTTATACTACAGTTTTGTACAAAAATTTTGGAAAATAACAATCCAAACGGGTTTGGCTTTTGAAAGGAAATAACTTCGAGTACAAATGCCTATCAAACTTGACTCTCGAAAGTAACACTCAAACATATTTCCCAAGCCAAAAATTGGAATTACTCATCTTCTTGCTTAAAACCCAAAAAAAAAAAAAAAAATCTTCTTGTTTAGTTTGAATTTCAATCTTTAAAGTGCTTAAAGAATATTTTCTTCTCTTGCCAAATGAGTAACGAGTAGCTAGAGTACGTTAAAAATCTAGGTTGCCAATCTCCAAAAGTTTAGGATGGATCAGGAAAGGTGCTGTTTCTTGATCAACCATTCTCACTCTAAAAGTCATGGATGTCATGATAAATAAAAAACGAGGCAGAGAGAAAGTTATTTGACGAGCACCAAGGGAAAACCAGAAGCGCAATGTTGTAACCAGGGAGGAAATGATGCACATTTCAGTGTAAAAGTTCTGAGACAAAGCATTTAAGAGTGCACAACAATCCCTTGACTCTCGTCAGGTGAAAGCAAAAAAAAAAAGAAAAAAGACCACTGTACAACTAAATGGATCAACTCTTACAATTTCAACTAAACTCAGAACCTAGCGGTTCTCATAGGCTTCTAATAGACTCCATAGAACAAACCTTTTTTTTTAAGAAAAATTTGTCAGATTTTATGCGTTCCTCTCATATATGAAATCAATGAATTTGAGAATTTTATAGAGAAATTTGATAAAGAATTTAAGAACAATGGAGGGTTGTCTCTTCTCAAGTCTTTTACTCCTATTCTTAATTTTTTGATTAAATCCTCCATGCTTTTAATTAAAATTGGACAAAAAGGTCCTTCAATTCTGACTGAATTTACGTCTAAAATGATTAGAAATTCTTAAATTATGCATTTTTAATTATTTAAGAGTCAGTTGGAAACAAAAGTTGAATAACGATGATAATTTAAGGGCTTCTCAAATTTTTTTACTCAATCTTTTTTTTTTTATTCCTTAACTCAATCCTACTACCAGCGATCCATCAACCTGTCTAATGAACAGAGAAAATAAGAGGACTAAATTGATATTCAAGTGCTAGTTCCCAGTTTGTTCGTATATTTGGAGCTATCGACCAGCCAGCAACTACTCCTTGCATCATCTCTACAATGCAAGTAATCAACACGTCTGCAGGCCTATCATTGTTCTGAAATAGCCCGGAGTTTCCTTCCAGCCACACATTGTAGAATTTAGCTCCCAATGCCAACATCCTGAAAGATTGCATGAATTCAGGTCCTCAGGTTCGACTCCCGAGTGCTTCCGTGCTGTGATGCTTGGGGCTGCTCTCACAGCCCGAGAAGAGTAGTCTGGCCGGTTCAGGTGATTCTGACCAGGTCAGAATACCTTCCAATCGACTAAAAAAAAAAAAAAAAGATTCCCACTAAATACTCAGTCAATCAATGTTAACTCCCCGTTCCAACTTCCAACCAAACCCCCCTCTAAGTAGAAAAAGTTATACCATTCTAAAGTTTCCTACTTCTTCTTTTTTTGTTTTTTTCCCTTTTCTGGCAAGTTCATCCACCCATTAGCATTCGTCTTTATTCCCCAACCCCTACTTTTCTTGCTGCCTAGTGAATTATGATCACGACTGACAATTCATGTAAGCTGAACTAGGAAAACTCACATTTATGATATCTTAAATGACTTCATCTCGCTTACAATTATTCAAATCCTATAACTTGTTTTTCTTTAAAGTTTGGAATATATTTAGCAGCTTCCATCGTCCGATTCATATATATGCTCCTAGTTGCCCATTAGACAAGAAGCAGTACAGCCATGGCATTTCACAGAGGTGATCAAGTTGAGATCATGAGCAAAGAAGAGGGGTTTCAAGGCTCATACTTTCATGCAACAGTAGTCACAAAACTTGAGAATGATGAATACATAGTCCAGTTCAAGACTCTCTTAGAAGATGATAAGCCTGCTCCTTTGAGACAGGTGCACACGTTGGATGAAATAAGACCAATCCCACCTGAAATTCCTAGGAAGAAATTTTACGTGAAGCAGAAGGTGGATGCATACGAAGGTGATGGATGGTGGGTAGGAACTATTACTGGTATGGAGGAGGCTGAATCTGAAGAGGAGTTTAAGTATACCGTTCGCTTCCAAACTACAGAAGAACAGCGTTCTTTCAAGTTGGAAAATTTGAGGGTTCATCAGGAGTGGGTGAACAGTAACTGGATTTTCTCCAAGAGAGGAAGGAAGAAAAAGGTACGGAATTTCATTCTGTTTTCTTCGATGATGTATTTTATTCTCATTTGTTTGCAATGCGATTGTCGCAGGGAACAGCCTAATGATGAGAAGATTTTGGAAAAATGAAGAACCATGAAAGCTTTGAGCTTGAGGAGGAGTTATTACGAGAGAATTTATTGACTTTGTAATAAGTACATACAATTTGAAGCTACCGGAGAAGAGGGTGCTTGTAAGATTGTAATTGGTTCACTTTCTGGTTTATTAGCAGACAAAATCCAGTGGTCTTTTTAACTTTCGAGTAAGGTGAATGGTTTGCACAGTGTCCTCGGATAGGATTTCTCTTCACATCTTTTTGTATTTTCTTCAACATTGTCGTGTTTTAATTAACCTTAAATCTTGCTGGTGTGTTTTTCTTGAGGAATCGGCTTCGTTTTCTTGGTTATAATCCAGTACTAAGGTCGTACCATTCTTTTTCAAGATTTAATGTTTTATCGTGTAGATTAATGGCGTATCACTAAGTTACATAAATCCTAATAAACCTAAATTGTTCATACTTTTGTATGACGAATTATTAAGTTACATAAATTCTCAAACTGCCAATGTGGTCTCAAATTTTCTGGACCGCAACTAGAGAAATGTGACAAAATATTTGTCATATATTTAATTCAATTAACGTATTATTTTATCTTAAAAGCTTAGTTATAACCATGTAAAATTTAAGAGATCAAACTTCAAACGTTCGAAACTAAAATGCAAGTTCAGAACTTTTTTGCCAACGCAAATTTAATTTTATTCGTTAGTTTTTATGATTTTTAGTCAATCATTCTACATCTGTCTAAAATCAAAAATTTTGGAGACTAAATTTTGTTTTAGACCAAATATTAAGGATCAATTTGACACATAGACCAAATATTGAGTCATAGAACGGTGGATAAGAGATTATTTGAAATAATTACTACGTCACTCTTTGGTGTGCGTTGATACGTGCGAGATAAAAAAGTTGATTAAAAATTATAATTGTGATAAAAGTAAAATGATATTTGAAAAACATTTGATATCCATCCCACTTGAGATCCTCGGTGACATATTTTGAGTGCCAATCCAATGCCACCTCTAATATTGCGCCAAGTGTCTTGTTATTATTTGTACTGCTTCAAATGACCAAGAATTACTATGACACTTGGCACAATATTAGAGGTGGCATTGGATTGGCACTCAAAATATGTCACCGAGGATCTCAAGTGCATCCAAACACGGCCTACATGTACTTTTCCCTGCTACTTTTTTGCTATGTTAAAGAGTGTGTTAAGTTAAATAGCGGCCATTATTTGTTCGTAATTTAAAATCCCTGTGCATAATTCATTCCCGGAAATATCACAGCCATCTCTGATCAAACTACCGGTGCTCCTTCTCTGACGTAATCACGTTTCCCTCCACCAAATTACACACACAACACACAGCACAATGGCAGTAGTGAACTGCTACATCTCCTTAACCTTATCACAAGATTCCTCAGCAGCAGCACAGCCAGCAGCTCGAAGTCCAAGAGAAACCAAGATTTTGCTGCCAAAAAAGAAGCCTCTCAAATGGTCTACTGGGGTGGCTCCAGGGGAGGGGCGGCCCACCAACTACGTCCAAGCTCAGGAAGTACTGGGGTGGCCAGGATGAGGACCCGCTAACT